TGTAAATGTGATGAAAGGGCTGTCGCAGTAAACCGGAATTGGGTTATGTAAGCAACTCGGGAGATTCCTTCATCGCCGGTATCATGTGTGTTTCGCGATTTTACGACTTACGTCTATTCCTTGGAAAAACATGAAAAATCTCTGGAATTCTCAAGGATTTTTTTTATCTGGGAAAATCAGGAATTCTCATTTTATTGGAATTCGGGAATTTTTTTAAAATTTTGTCTTTGATAATTTTATCCTATTGTCGCTAATTATAAATTATGTGTTTAAAATATGTTATATAATAAATATTATATATGTATTTAATATCGTAACAAAATATGGAATATGCAGTTAATATTTTTTATTGTAATTTTTAATGATAAAAAATTAAAAATGTCATGAAAAAAATTTATTTTACGAAAGTTATATTCAGTTTTTCTTTCCGTACACTTTCAAATCTAGCACTTGAAACTTAAATGGCTCTTTATTTTTTCTTTCGTATGAGTGGAAAAATCATACAATAGAAAACCATACAGTCGAAAAATCATACAATAAAAGAAATTATTTTAGAAAGTTGCATCCAAAAATTTCTTGAAAAGTTTTTTTTACCTGAAACTTTGAAGAAAAAAATCTGAAAAATCGGGACATTTTCAGAGTATTTTTTTTTTTTTACGAAATTTGAATAAATATCCTGAACATATCTTTATTATTGAAATTATAATGGAAGATTTTATAGGATACTTTAATATAAATTGAATAAGATTCATTTCTCTTTTATATTTATTCGAAATTATGCAGTTCGCATTAACGTGATGGCGGATCATAAACGCATCTTTACTACTGCAGACTAATGCTCACGAATAAATATATAGGGGTGCACTTAGTTTTAATCAAAGAAATTAAAAGAGAGCTATTAAAACATAAAAATAAAAAAACATGAAAAATAAAAAAATAATAGATTACAAAAATCAAGAAATCGATTTTAAATTATTTGTATAAAAAGAAAATTATTTACATCTCCAATGTTTTTTCCAGTATTTCTCTGTAGTTATTTTTAATTTTATAAAGAGTTTGACTTGTACTAACGTTATGATTAAATGATTTTAATTTAAATTTTATATATAATATAATTTTATACAATATCAAATTCTTCTCTGAACCATCAATCTGAGAATCGCGAATTATGATTTCGAGTTTTGTAATGAATTTTTCTTTTCTTCTTATCGCTTTTTCGTTTGCTGTGCAACTTTTTAACGTGAAATTTTAAAACCGAACTTATTGTCTGTATTATCGCTTTCTTTCGCTTTCACCTTGATTCTTTATTCCATTTGCTATTCTATCTTTTTCTCAATTCTTTTCCTGCCTGGAAAAAAAGAAACAATTGCTCAATATGTATCTCGAGATTTTATTTGGAAACTCCATTCGAATCTACTAAAGTCTCTCGCGAGTCGACAAAATGTAATTACCAAGTAATTCGAAGGATTATGAGGGCAAGATGGCGCGAGTCTACGGTGCGTTTTACAAGTTGGCTGCCAGCCAGCTTCTTCTCGGCGACGTGCAAATCATATTATCTTAACGAGACCAGATAACACCTTTTTGTCGGCGAATGATGATGCTGTGAATGCATTCGCAACTAAAAACTGTCGTACTTAAATGCAAACGAAAATGAGAACGTTATTCGTTTACTCGTGTAATTGACCGCCGAGGCAAATTGCGTTCCTTGCTATTGTCGAGATTATTATTATTGAGATTACAAGCGAACTTAGAAGCTTTTAAAAAAGAATTTTTCTCTTAATATACCAGAGGTATTACGAATGAAAAATTATATATTATTTACTTATTCTGACATTTTTAATGTTTACTCTGTATAAAAAAATCTGTATAATGTTGAATTTATCCCGAAAATTATTCACTTATATATTTTTAAATTTACTTAGAAATATATAAATAAATTTTTAGAATAAATTAATTTAATATTTCTTTTTAAATTATATAATTATGTAAAATAAATTTTATATAATAAATACACATTTATAAAATTATTTATAAGTATATCTATTATAAATGAAATTTTATTTTATGAAATTATAATTTCAAAAGAAAATTCTTACATTAATAATTTGGATAAAAATGAGGCACTTTTATATATAATAAATACAGAGTGTTTCTGGCGTAAATGAAATTATTACGGCATAATAATTATATGGCGAACGGTTAAGTGGGACGGGAATATGGAGGATAATTTATTTCCCCTCTGCTATAACGAGAATAATAATCGTTTTGTCGTAAAAAAAGCCATGTCGAAGTATCGCTATTAAAGCGGGTCTATTTATCGTTCTCCTAGACCTCTCGTCGTAAAGGGCGGATTATAATACAGCTGTATAAGATGTCTTACACACAATCTGGCACTCGGCCAAGCTCGAACGGGCAATTCTGTACTAACGAACACAACGGATGTTACGAAGCTCAGTATTTCGGCGAGAAATCGTGTCGCAATCTTTACACGAGAGCTTCACTCTTCAGCTGCGGCAAATGTGATGGATTAGTGTAAATATATTTGAAAAGAAAAAATTTTTTTCATTTTACGTGAAAATATTCTCCATGAAAAATTTTCGCCAAGCAAATTATTTTCAGAAAAAATTCGTGCTCAGATTAATTGGACTAACTGCATAGGCGAGATTCTTTTTTTAACCGAGATTGTCGGAGCGTAATTCACTACTTCACCGCGATGAACTTTCGCACGATACACGTTATACGCGTTGGAGTGAGGGATGCAGGAAATGCGGAGCTTTGACTTTGTAACGACTTAGCAAACCGTAAAAGAGGATTGCGGGGAGCTTCGTGCGTTTTATACCGCGAGGAAATCTCTCTCGGGCGAGAGAGTCACACAGCATTATCATGTTTACGTTCGTCGGTTGGCAACTTATGAAACGGCTCTTCGCGAATAGACGAAATATAATAAACGGAACTCTCCGCGAGGCAAATGTTGCGGAAGACAGTGAGAACTTTGTGTAGAATACACTCTCACGTTACTTGTAACAACGTTACAATGCGTATTATCTCACAGATATACAATAACCAAGTTGTCCACAAGTAATGACGGAACTAACGAAAAGCTTCTCCAATAGAACTTGAGATTTTTGAGATTAATTCGTACCTACCTATTAAAAAAGTAATATAATACAAAAGCTAGAAAGAAATATGATGTGAAAGAATAATTTATTTACTATACTATTAAAAATACATATATTTATTAAAATATATATTATTATTAAAAAAAAATATATAATTAAAAATGTATATTATACATATTTTTAACAATATTGTGTATAAACAAATTATTCTTATGTATTATATATATTATTAATATATTATAAAAAATGTACAATATGTAGAAAAATAATAATTTGCATTTAATTAACCCAGCTAATTTTTCTCTATTTTTCCTGAATTTAATCGGGATAATAAACTACTTGTAATGCATCCGACGTAAATATGGACGGTACAAGTCTGGCGTTTAATCAGTCAAGCTTTATTTGGAAATTAGAGTATTGTAGTTGGTATGACGTCCCTTCGCTCGCGAGAGATTAAGCCGACCGCTTGAAAGGATTAAGCTTGATAAGGCGATCCATTACGTCAGAAACGAGAAAGACCCGCATTCTCTCGCGATATATCGCAGAAAGACGGTGAAAACCGCCGGCTCCTCTTTTTTTTTACACACGCGCGACGGAAGAGTTGCAGAGAGCCATTGTTACAGATAACAACGGCTTGTGCATCCGCTTGAACTCGACTCGGGCGGGGTCGATCGCTTTAAAGGCCCGCTTCGACGGCTGCTTTAAGAACAATCCCGTGTTTTACGAGTAAGGAGCTTTAGCCCGCTCTTCCGCACCGTCGCACTTTATGTCGCCCGACACGGACGGGCGACGCGATGTTGGTATTCCTCGTCAAGTCATCCACTTTCCGGATGCAACGAGTGACGTTTGCGAGTCCTCGGCTCGCGAGGAAAGAAGACTTCCTTCTCTTGTAACTGGAAGAAGAAACAAAATGTTTTTTTTCCTCATACAATATGAATTTTATCTAAAAAAAACAAGCTCCGTCTTTTTAAAATTTTATTTTTTGTACAAAATTTTGTTTTTTTTTTGTTTTTGATATTTATTTTTTGATTGTTGCAAGTTGATTTTTCGTTATTTTTTATTTTTAGATGTTTTGAATTAATCTGTTATTTAAATTGTTTTAAAGGTAAATTTCAATTGGCTTTAAAATTATATAAGGACTATTTTTAATTAGATAAATCTAAAAATAAATAAAGATTTAATTCGAATAAATTGCCTTTATTATAGATATAAAAATACAGTTTAATTTTTTTCAATAATATACTTTCGTTCGAGTCGCTAATTTAATATAATGAGAAAATATTAAAATTCTTTTATTTTTAATTAATTTTTTTTTTAAAGTAATCTTAAAAGATTAATGAGATTTTACGATTAAAATGATACCGAACACGACATAATTCCAATAAGTTTTAATAAAAATTTTTCTTATGCATCTAATTGAAAATTGGAATCATGTTGATGCTTGATGTAATTTTCCGCAAAAATCTTATTAGTTCATTAAATTACATTCCTTATTAGTTCATTAAATTACATTACTTTCGAAAAATGATAAATTAAAAATACAAAAGAACTTTAGCTTTTTTAATTATATTTGTAAAAAATATAAAGAAAAAGTAATATTATATTTTAAAAAATAATGAGAAAGATATGTTTTTCTATCAGAAAAAAAACAGTTTTTTTACATCTTTATTTTTACATCTCTTGTACCCACGGTGTATGAATCTCATCCATTATTCCCGCGTCTTTATCCAACGCGATCGAAAGAAGGGCTTGCGAATTTGACTTTATAATGCTATTCATCATTTACCATTGAACGATTCTGTTTAATTCAAAATTGCAAGATGTTACATCTATCGTATGTATACTAGGACAGCGTTTCAAATCGAGCACTGTATGTTTCAGCCAGCACCAATCTCGTCGGCAAATTTACGCAGAGCGTTCGAAGGATCGTCCAGGACGTGAAGGATGAAGGCACTTCCAGTAAGTTTGAAAATGATATTTTATCATATTCATTTCGCGTAGAAGTTTCATTAAATTTTAGCCACTAACTTGGCTGATCATTGTCGAGCGTTTGGATAATTTTATACGCTAAGAAATATTGCAGAATAACAGTGTTCGCGGTTTTTTTATTTGAGATTTAATCTTTTTATGCATAAAAATTTTTAATAAAATCTTTAATTAGTAAAATCTTATCTTAATTAGTAAAATCTATATCTTTATTTGCATATCGTTTATAAGACGTTTATGATCTTCCTCAATAATTTCGCCTAAAAAAAAGAATTTATTAATAAAATAATTTACAAAAAAATTACAGAAAGCTAAATTTGTGGAGAAAGTTTATAAGACTCTTTTAAAAATATTTTTATGATTCTCTCTTTCTCTCTCTAAATACATATAATTAAAAGTATAGTTTATAATTATGAGAAATTTTGAGAGAGAAAGAGTCGAGATTTGCTCGAGAAGGAAACTTAAATTTCTAAGATCTTTTTCGAAAAAGTTGCTTTTTTCAATTCTTGATCCTTCAAAAATTAAGCGATTCTTCGTCTCGAGCACAGCAACTTTGATGAATCGACGATAAAGATATTCATATGTATCATTTAAAAAAATTATAGAAAGCTAAACTTGTGAAAGAAGTTTGTAAGACTCTTTCAAAAATATTTTTATGATTCTCTCTCTTTCTCTCTCTAAATTGGTCATTATAATTAAAAATATAGTTTATAATATAGTTCATAATTATGAGGAATTTCGAGAGAAAGAGAGAAAAAGAATCGAGATTTACTCGAGGGAGAGACTTAAATTTCTAGATTCTAAAGATCTTTTTCGAAAGAGTTGCTTTCTTCAATTCTTCATCCCCAAGAATTGGATTAAGCGGCTCTTCGTCTCGAGCACAGCAACTTTGACGAATCGACGATAAAGATATTCATATGTATCATTTAAAAAAATTATAGAAAGCTAAACTTGTGAAAGAAGTTTGTAAGACTCTTTCAAAAATATGTTTATGATTCTCTCTCTTTCTCTCTCTAAATTGGTCATTATAATTAAAAATATAGTTTATAATATAGTTTATAATTATGAGGAATTTCGAGAGAAAGAGAGAAAAAGAATCGAGATTTACTCGAGGGAGAGACTTAAATTTCTAGATTCTAAAGATCTTTTTCGAAAGAGTTGCTTTCTTCAATTCTTCATCCCCAAGAATTGGATTAAGCGGCTCTTCGTCTCGAGCACAGCAACTTTGATGAATCGACGATAAAGATATTCATATGTATCATTTAAAAAATTTATAGAAAGCTAAACTTGTGAAAGAAGTTTGTAAGACTCTTTCAAAAATATTTTTATGATTCTCTCTCTTTCTTTCTCTAAATTGGTCATTATAATTAAAAATATAGTTTATAATATAGTTTATAATTATGAGGAATTTCGAGAGAAAGAGAGAAAAAGAATCGAGATTTACTCGAGGGAGAGACTTAAATTTCTAGATTCTAAAGATCTTTTTCGAAAGAGTTGCTTTCTTCAATTCTTCATCCCCAAGAATTGGATTAAGCGGCTCTTCGTCTCGAGCACAGCAACTTTGATGAATCGACGATAAAGATATTCATATGTATCATTTAAAAAAATTATAGAAAGCTAAACTTGTGAAAGAAGTTTGTAAGACTCTTTCAAAAATATGTTTATGATTCTCTCTCTTTCTCTCTCTAAATTGGTCATTATAATTAAAAATATAGTTTATAATATAGTTTATAATTATGAGGAATTTCGAGAGAAAGATAGAAAAAGAATCGAGATTTACTCGAGGGAGAGACTTAAATTTCTAGATTCTAAAGATCTTTTTCGAAAGAGTTGCTTTCTTCAATTCTTCATCCCCAAGAATTGGATTAAGCGGCTCTTCGTCTCGAGCACAGCAACTTTGATGAATCGACGATAAAGATATTCATATGTATCATTTAAAAAATTTATAGAAAGCTAAACTTGTGAAAGAAGTTTGTAAGACTCTTTCAAAAATATTTTTATGATTCTCTCTCTTTCTCTCTCTAAATTGGTCATTATAATTAAAAATATAGTTTATAATATAGTTTATAATTATGAGGAATTTCGAGAGAAAGAGAGAAAAAGAATCGAGATTTACTCGAGGGAGAGACTTAAATTTCTAGATTCTAAAGATCTTTTTCGAAAGAGTTGCTTTCTTCAATTCTTCATCCCCAAGAATTGGATTAAGCGGCTCTTCGTCTCGAGCACAGCAACTTTGGTGAATCGACGATAAAGATGTTCATACGTATATCGTTTGGAAATAAACGCCTGGCAGTCTGCCAGCGGCATACGGTCGTTAGTTGTCCCGTGAATGGAATCGAAGCGGAAACTCTTGTATTCAGTTGGGCCGAGAGTAACGGCGTGTCGGCTCTGCCGCTATATTAGCTAAAAGGGACGGAAGCTCCGCCGTCGACGGAGAATTCCGTCACGTTCGGATTAACGCTTTCCCATCAACGAACGCGGAACTATGATTAATTCCGACGTCAGCATGTTCGCGTCGCCGTCGCTGGTGAAATGCGACGATCAGATAAATTCCTAACGTATACGATAATGACACGTGTATAGGAATGTTGCGCGACACGCGACCTCAATTTTCTTGACAGATTCTCGCCAGCGAATTGGAAATCAATTATCTCTTGTTAGCGAAACGATCGGGAATAGTCGCACTTTTATACGGCCCTTCAAGTCTCACAAGGGGATTGGAAAATTCTGATTTTAATGAAACTCTACACATGTAAAAAGAGTAGATAGACGAATTTATAAAGCTGTAACCCAAAAACAATTCTAAAGGGTGAAGCTATCCGGCTTTTTACTTTCCTCGATACACGTCTAAAATTATGGGAAATATTAAAAAATATTTTTAAAAAAATTTCATGGAGACTAGCTTTATTTAACCACATTAATAAATTAATTTTTTCAAAAGATATTTGAAAGAATTTTTTTCAAAAATTATTTTTCCAAAATTTTATTATAGAAGTTAAGTAGATGTGTTTTCAAAATTTTTATACAGAATATTTTTTGACATCTCGAATGATTTTGGATATATCAAAAAATTAAAAGTCGCTATGTATGAGGGATGATTTCGCTTAGAGTCCTCGTAGAATCGTTTTCGAGCTGCAAATGAATCCCTTCTTGTCAGTATGTATGAAAATTCTATGAAAAATAAAATTTACTTTATATTAACCGAATGGAACGAAACTTTTTTACGGTTTCATGTTGCTTACAGTATTTTGGGATTTTGCTTACTTCTGGAGCTCGAACTTTTCGAACTAGAAATTCGGACGCGCTCGATGAGACTGCAACGGAAACTGAGTTGCTTATCGCGTCGCCCGTCGCGCTCGATTTATTTATGTTGGAACTTTCGTCCCTATCGTAGTGTCGAGTTAATTGGAAATTAATTAAAGGCGACATTCGCGCCCGGTTCTCGTCGCGCTCAATTTAACAATCCTGTTAAATCGATGATCGACACGCGCGATACGAATCGAAAATCGAATCAAAGTTCAATCGTTACATCATATCAAGGGGTATCAAAGTGTCCGTACATAATGGAGAGAAATTTCACCCGTCATATTTCCAATATCTTGTCGGGGCTTTTTATATCCTCCCTTTTATATCCTTTTCCTCGCTGACAAACAGGTGGACAAACGAAGGAGGAGGTGATCGAGACGAACGAGAGGCTGAGGGTCGTCAGGATACGCCTGGACGGCAGCTACGACACCGCCAAGAGAGCTCTTGTGGAACTGATGTGCAAGTACACCGACAGCAAGCAAGTCCGCAACATCTTTCAGCGTTACAATCTCCTCAAAGTTATGATCAAGGTAAGATGGGGAGGTACACCGTGGTTGTATCGTTTGTAATTGGATGTTCACACGCGTTGTTTTCGTTCCACCGACGCTTTGTGCTCCACACGTGTCAGTTCCAGGCTGTCGTCTTTCCGTTGACGTAATTACGTAATTACGTCGCCTCCCCGGCTTATATACATAAGCTAAAACAGAGGAAGAATGACAGAGGCTTGCGCACTTTCGCTTTGAAACTTGTTCCGACGTTCCTTATTAAGAAATTTATAAGGAATCAGTAATTAACTCGTATAATCTCTTAACGTAAATTTACATAATAAACTTTCTAAGAAGTTAATAATTGCCTTTATCCTGGATACACATAAAAATTAATACATCATTCTGAGATGATTTCATCGACAATGTTATAATTTTTCATATCAATTTATTATACTTTTATAGATATTTATTAATTTTTTAAATTATTATTGCATTTGATTTCTGCAAATTTCGATTAATATCAACGTATAAATTGATGTGCCACGTAAACATATTTGCCAGTTTTTCAAGATAGGATATAAAATAACCAAAAAGGCAATCAATAGTCGAGTAATAATTAAAAAAAAATTAATAAATCGCATTTTATTCACTTTATTTTCACAATTATATTTATTTTACTTAATATTTTTTAAAATTTTGTTTTTTTTTCACAAATGCGCGTAAGTTCATAAACTGATAGCGCGATTTATCGAAAAACGTTCAAAGAGAAATGAAATGAAGAAATAGCAAACGAGAGCAAAGTGATGGATGTATGCAGTGCATATTTTGTCAGTAAACAGTCAACACGGAGCGGAAAATATCCAGGCTCGATCCGTATGTAAATCGGCACGAACTTCAGCTACAACGCAGCATAAATCGTGCTGAAACAAGGGAGGAATTCGACAAACGGCACGGCCGTTTCATTTTTCTCCTTGTTTCTTCCCTTTTTGTCTTTATTTATTTTTCGAAATACGTATTTATACCTATCCGTATCGCGAAATCCAACGTGGCGCGTTTATTATTACGGGAGATAGATCGCGAGACGAGTACAATAAATAAAGATGCATAAGACACCTGGACATGTCAGCGCGAAAGACGAGCGCGCGTTTCTATTTTTTTTCCCTTTTTTTCACTTTGCTTTTTTTTCTCAGAGATGCATAAATAGTATCGTATTTACGCGGACATTGACGTTTGTTTCTGGTGTAAACTTTCGTTGCGAGAAACATTCATTCGTATCGAGAGTGCGGAGTATTTTCCTTTTTTCTTTTGCTGAAAAATCACCGGAAGTAATCCCCGGGCGATATGAATAAAATTTCTCTCTATAAATCGCGCCGTGTGTCTCATCGATAGCCAATGTATAATTTCGAGGTGTATTTCAAGTGCTTTGTAGGAAGAGAATAAATATTCCGCGGGGGCGGAACGATATAATGCAAATACGATTGCCATAAGAGCGGTAAACAGCCTGTCGGCGTTATTGAAATTAGTTTGTGTTTTCGCAATCATGGAATGAAATAGCTCGAGATTGCTCTTAGCGAGACGATTTTCGCCCCAGTATTAAGAGATTAAAATCGAGTTAAATTGAAATCGAATTAAAATCAAATCGAGATCATTTCCATCGAAGATTAAAGGAGGCGCGTCTGAATTCTTTTTTTAGGAAGCAGACCGTAAAGGAACTTGATTTTGTTCGACAAAAATATCTGTTTACAGTTTGTAAGTAATAATAATCTCGAGCATAAACGCAGATTAATGACGCTACGTTTCGTAGAGGCGCGAGGGAAGGATCGATCGCGTCCTAAACCGGGTCTGATAAATGGACCCGGCAATTTGTTTTCCGGAACAAACGCGGATAAAGGGATCCGCGTACAATGGCCAATCGCCTTGCACAAACTTTGCGCTGCTTCTTTCGCTCTTCGATTTTTCTCGTCCTCGCGACGGTAGCCTGAGCTACCGACGGTTTTACCTTTCCAGGACGTAATTAAGCTGGAGACGCAATATTGGACGCTGGTGGATATACCGAGACAGGAGAAGCAGGAGACCGTGCCCGCCTTCGTATTGCGTGCCTGCTCCATCATGGAGAAGACCCACAAGAGCGGTGAAGGCGTGAAAACTTCGGCGCGTCTCGCCGAGGAAGCCGAGACCAAAAGGGAGCGTATCGAGAGACTCGAGAGTGAGTACACGAAATACGAGTAATTAATTGAGAATAGTAATAGTGGTAGTCTGAGGTAGCTTTGCCAGAGGAAGAAAACAATTTTCCCTTGTCCTTCATCGATTGCTTTCCTAACTGTGACTTTGAGTATTATCTAACTTCTCTCGATTGATGATACTCGATAAAAGTTAATTGATGCGCGCTGTGTACGTTTTATCATCTCTTTGTGTAATTGATTAATTCTCATTTTATAATGGGAAAAATATATATAGAAGATTAATTCTCATTTTATAATGGGAAAAAATATATATAGAAAAGTGCAATATGACATTTGTTATAAAAATTAAATTAAATTAAATAATTTAGAAAAATGCAATATGACGTTTGTTATAAAAATTAAATAAAATTAAATAATTTAAATTATTACATATAATTTGTAAGTTATTTAATTTTATTTCATTTTTGTGTGTAATGAATATCATATTGTTATGTTGTATTTTTTTCTTGTCCCATTTTTGTATTATAATTACAAAGCTATGTAGTTACATTATTGTTTGTTTTATTCGCCAGACGAAAAGTTTATTGCTCTTCTCATCGACCAAATTGAGCAGAAAAGACACGATTCAATGGATGTTCCCTTAGAAAGTTTCCAAGCATGCATAATACATTATTTTCCGTCATAAGTCGATCGGAGACACCGAAGATCTATCGTGTCATTAAGTCGAAACAAGGCCATACTTCACTCTCAATCTTTCATTATGATTTAACAAATAACGGTATGAAAAAATGACGCTGCTGTCGATTATCAATAACTTGTAAAAAAATTGATTGATGAAAATATATTAAGATTTTGAAGATTTAAAGATTTGAAAGACTTTGGGGCGCGTTGTTTCTTTCGAGATTTAAAAAAATATATTTTTTTAATTGTTTTATTTCCTTGGCGGATAAAAAAAGATTTATCGGATATTAATTTATCGGGAAAAGATTTAAAATTCGTAAAATTAAATATGTTTCAGTTATCAAACGAGGGAGAAAGAGTGGGAGTGTAATTAATCCCTTTTTCTGGTCTCGTTTACGCTAGTTTTTACTCTCTCATAAATATTCAACAAATGCTTCGTACAACAATTCATAATTTCAGAGCGTGGAAGATTTATGGTATTTTTCATTATCGCGATACGACGAAAATTATTTGAAAATTATTCTTTACCGTGTTCCGCGATGCATTCTAAATACAATCGCTGCTGCTTTTTGCAATTCGCATGCGTGATTATCGCTCTATTTGTAAAACATTCCGGCGAGAAGGTCTTATGAAAGCAAATTGCCAATTCAAAGCACGAGTGCACATCTTAAATAAATATGCCATAATTAAAAATATTTCAGACAGTACTTCGATCTCTCATTTACTTAATCAAAGAACTCTTTCACTCGTTTCGTACTCAGGCTCCACTTGAAATTATTCGATACAAATAGTTAGATTTAATTGATTAACACGGCGCCTAATTAATCACGAACATTTTTCGAGAGTTCGCGTATTCTTCACATTTTGTTTTATTTTTATTTCTATTTTATTTTATATACTCTATATTTTTATTTGATTTTATTTTACTTCGCTTTATTCTCTCTATTATTATTTTATTTTATTTATGCTTTATTTTATTTCGTTCCTTATATTTTGATAGTAAAACCTATATTTTATTTTTTAAATATCTACAAAAAGGGACAGAAATTGTTATAAAAATATTCCAGGTGACAAAATAAATATGTAAATAAATAGAAACTTTCAGAATAACACTTTTTTTGAAAATGTTAAAATTAATAATTCGTAAATTTGAAAGTATTTTATTGTCTAATATTATATATCCTCTGTATCAATGTTTTAGTTTGATAACGTGCACTGCACATATTAATGGTCAACATATTCATTGCTTGATTTTCATTTCGTTAACAGGAACAATATTTCCCCGAACGTTAATTAATGCTCCGTCGGCGGTATTCCAGAAAAACTACGTTGATGCAACCACACGCAACATCGACGTATCTTTTTTTGTGCTTGCCCTGCGTTATATTAATAGTAAAAAGTTGCTTCGAAAGTTTTATTACGTCGCGTTGGAATGAATGGAAATTTCATATCATATATTATTATATTTAAACGAAAAATATTTTCCCAAACAAAAGATTAATTATCATTTTTTCAATATATAAATAAGACATTTTTATTTAAATAATTAAGTTGACTTTATATTAACATTTCATTTTGGAAGCTACGCACTGTTAAGATCTAAAATATTTTATTATTATATTTTTTTGCACATAATAAACAATCAAATAAAGTAACAAGACGCTTTGCATAGGTATGACGACTGCGCAAATCGAGGCGGAGAACACCCAGATGACCAATGATCTTTACAGATTATTGAAGAAATACACGGGTCTCAGGAATCTCATCAAAGAGTTAAAAGTACGTGCAAGAGACTTAACTTTGTAAGAGACTTAACTTGCGGTTTCTCCAGAAAATGATGTAAACAAAAATATTTGCCTAAAAGAAATTACAGAAAATACTGGTTCGCGTAAGATTTCAAGACGTGTCTTAATTTTAATTCAAAATTATTCAATGCTTTGTTTATATTTTTACAAGTGATGTAATTTCCAATTTAAACTATTTTGTTTAAATTAAATCTTTCTGAAATATTAATGATTGACATCGAGAGAAATTTGTAAATTATTCTGCCATTTAATAAGCATGTAAAATTTCATTTTGAAATTAGAGTTTATTTTAAAATTATGTGTAATATATTGCTTGAACGACTTTATTTTAGATTAAAACGGATTTTTTTAAAAGCCTCGAATGTATTATATCGTTTATCGACTTCGCGATTATGATCGTAAAAGGGTGACATTACATTTCGATTGGCCATCATTCTAGTACATTGTTACGATCGTCCCATTTTTTCTCTTTACATTCTAATAACTTATATAACACTGTTGATATAAGACTTTTCCGGCGCTTATCCTCCATTCGTTTTATTCTCTTCTTTCATACAGTGTCAAATAAATTGAAGATTAAAGGCTACCAAGAATATCGTAATATCAAGGCAAATTGCGTTTCGTCGCCCTCTGGAATTGTCGCGGATAATCCGAAATTTTCATGAAGTCGTAGAACGCGATTTAACAAATTTTACATAACATTTTTCAACGAAATCCCGTGAAATTTAAAACGATCCTTTTCAATTTTTTTTACAAGTTTAGAATTGAATTTTCTTTTATCGCGATAAAAATTTTATCAAATGCTGCTTAAAAAGAATACAGTCGCGATTGTAGGATAAAACATATTTTGAAGAAAGAAGAATTGGATATTTTTTGCCTTATGCGATGTAAAAGATAGACATGTGTACACAACTGTTTATTAATTGCCAAAATAAAATGATTGAAGAGGGTCGCTTTTTATCTCCGCAGGAGGAGTACAACAGCTCGAAGGTGTATCCAATGTTCCCGCGTTATACGATACTGAAGGATATGATAAAGGATATAATGCACAACCCGGACTACATGGAGGTCTGTCACGAGGTGGACCAAGCATAGCGGCCGGACCCCCTCCACCGTTCGCCACGTATGACCCTGTAAATTCCTCGGGGTCTCCGCGTGGTAGTCGGTGAAGGGGGTGAACCACAAAGCGCTTCAACTGACGATTTCAGTTTGGAACAGTAAATCCCTGCAATTTTTTTTTTCACATCCTGTTCTATATTTTCGTTTCCCTATCCATGTCTTATGCAAGTCGTCGTACGAATCTTGGAGCAACTCTGGAGCATCAAGTTGCGTTTGCGTTTATACTTTTGTGAATCGTATACAATTTCTCGCAGGTAAGTTAGACTCAATCCGAGCGAGAAATGGGAGATAATGAAGGATTGGGTTTCGTGCGATAGTGCATTATCGAATGTCGAGGAGTAGCGATGAGCCCTCTCGTCTGTAACAGCGCCGCAACATCACGAAGATGGAATAGTCGGGAAAGCAAGGTATGTCATGAGATCACTTTAATTTTCGCGATAATTAGGCTGCAATTTCGCGAAAATTCCGCAAAATTTCAGCCTAATTATCGCGAAAAAATTGAAAGCAAGAAATGTTATTTAATGCTTGGAAAAAGATATGAATATATTACTTTGCGAAGAAGAAAAGATTAAAACTGTTTAATACAAATAAATTTTAATATATAATTATATATTTTAATATATAATTATATATTTTAATATATAATTATATATTTTAATGTATATAATAAATATTATAATAAATATTTTTATTGGATTTGAGAAAAATATTAAACATCAAAGAGGACATCTCCCGTTGAGTTTTCGTTACGATGTTGAATAGCGTTACAATGTTTCAAGTTGCTCAAAGAATCCACGGGTGAAATAATGGTGGTGTGACTCTAGGACTCGCTTTATTAAGTCTAATATTTTTCGAACCTGCACTTCGTGGAAGAAAAGAACTAGAAGTCCTTTCGAGATAAATCCAAATAGCAGGATTTGCGAGATTCCAGCCGTAGAAAGCCGAGAGATGATCTTATAGTTTCTGATTTCGCGTCGGAATAGTCGCTCGTACATCACACACAAAAGAGGATAGCCGCATTATTATTGATAGTGGATGTCGTGTGCACGTGGTATATCATTAATCAATTAATAATAGTTCGCGCAAGATCAAGCAAATTCGTGTGAGCCTGGGAGCGTGAGTTTGTACATAAGTGTAACTCGTGTGTGCATAAGATTAGCGTGAAATTGTGAGAGTGGCATCAATGTGGAGCACACTATTACCTGCTTCCTGCTGTGTAGGATCGTGATAAGGAACATTGTCGTAATCGTCGCTCTAACTCGATTGAATTTATTCGCTTTATCTATGAATAGGACAAAGATCGGACGATTCGATAAGTTGCAGCTAAAAGGAAAGATGTATTTATAGTGAGAAACGTTAGTTGATGATTTGACGCTCTCTTGAAGAACTTCGGGATTTTATGATTAATCTTAAACGGAGATTTTATTAGAGAGATTTGGATACGTATATATTATGGACAAAATGAATCATATATTTAGTGCGTAAAGTATTGAAGTATTTAAATTTCTAGCTTCTCTTTTTTACCTACAAACAGGACAAAGACCAGGCGGTTAGAGGTGTTTCAATGTTAAAGAATATTGATGAATAATTTATCGCTTGAAGCAAAAATTTACACGGTTAACTTTAAATGTGAAAATTTTATTGGAATATTTAAATCGAACAATCGGTGTACAGTGGAATATTTGGAAAAAAATGCATACAGATTCATAAAAGCATCATACAAAATGCGAATCCATGTTTTAAAACGAGCAAAATCAAGTTTGCAAAATATGCGAATTAAAAACATAAATTTAAAGTGAAACTTACAGATTTGATTCATTTTAATGTTAAATTTTTTCAAGAATAAATTATAAATTCGTAAATATTATTATAAATCTTTTTCAATTGTAAATTATTAAATAAAACGATCGAAATACTTTTCCGTACAAAATTTCAATCAAAAATCAATCTTTATGATATAAATTTCATTTGTATTTTGCTTACAAATTATTCATATTTTTTATCGATTACTCATTTGTAATCAGAAATATGCATACTGTGAGATAAATGTTAATCGACAGTTCTCTCTGTGTATGCAAACACCATAAATATTAATGATTCCTCGTTTAAAGTACACGCAATGCCTCCATTACGAATCGCGAGATAAGCTAAGATTGCACTCGTGTAGTATGAATCAATGCGTTTCTTTCGTGCGGGAAGAAGCAGAACGGCAAGAATGTCACGTACACGTATACACTTTTATTTTTAATGTAACGCGCGTTCGCGCGTATACACGTTAGAATAGAATATTCATATCCGTATATTTAGCGCTGAATGCGGTTCTCTCGAATATTTATATCGGGCGTGATTTTCGCGCTAAATAGATTCGCAGAAAGGAAATTACTCATTAATCAAATATCATTGATTAGCGTGATTCACACATAAAACTCATTATCGAACAATGACATTTATCTAGATATGCAGTGACAATTTGTATGCTTAACAATAATGGCCGTGAATATAACATTCCCCATAAATATTTTATTACGAAGAATGCTTTGGGTCAAGAGCGTTGATTTAGTATTAATTCTACATCATGAACATATCATCAAAGTCACATTTATATATGTACACTTAATGCGAGAAATTTGCGCGAAAGAATATTGAAGATGAGATAAAAATTTTTTTTCGAGATTACATTAAAAAAAAAGGAAAACTTTGAAAACATTGTACAATTAAGCAAAAATAAATAATTCGTGAATTTAAAGGATTATGACGGAGAAATAACCGACAGAGGTTTTCGAAGGTAATCGTCCGAGTAAAATTAATTAATAACTTTGAATAACTGTCAAAGGGGAGCATCTGTCAGTTAATTAGCGCGGAAGGACACGAAAAGGTCCATCAACAATATGGAAATAAAATTTCTCGCAAAAATCATCCCTCTGAGGGACTTCCACTCACGAGTGTCTACATCCGCGTATACATGCGTATGCATATGCATATCGTGCTGTTCGATATTGACAAACACACAGGGGATGTTATCGGATCGGCTATCCGACGTTACATGTGCCATGTTCTCCAAGTGCTATATATCTCGTGTAAGTAAACTTATGTAAAAAGAAGCCGCATAAAAAGGACGCACGTAACGCTGATTATTCGTAATAGCAGTCGTCGCATGGTGAGAATTAACGACAGTGATTAATTCGAGGCGCGTAACAGGAGAGTCTTTTAGGATTTTGTTGTTCTCTCATATTGTTAAGAGATCTATAAGTATAACGATGTATACTATACTAAACTACATATATAAAAAGAGAAATGGCTGACAGCCCGAAATCAAAATACGAAATATAATGCGCGCCAGACATTGGGACGACGAATGGAGGCCCCGCTTCTCGTGCTGTGGGCCCTTTCCAATGTTTGGCGATGATTAGTGCCCCCCCCCCCCTCTCTCCTTCTTCCCTTAACATTATCTCCCTTTGCCACGTGTAGCACTGTGTAATCAAAAGGATTGTAATTTTATCAAAATGTCTAATCAAATTCAAATAATATCCTCGATCATCATTTACGAAGCTGGATACAGGCGGAAAAATATACCTTGTGATTCGAGATCAAAAAGATAATATTCTCTCATTTCTCAAATTGAACATAAAAATCAAAACTTTTATCAAAGAAAGGTATTTTTAAGAAGTGTCTCTTTCCTCTGCAAAAAAATATTGCACGACAATATATCGATACTTTGATGTTTTAGTTTTATTTTGATAAAAAGTCTTGATAATAGAAGTGTAAATAATAATAACTGTTTTGTCATCGCGTCGATAACAATGACGTCACATTATCGAATTGGATGAAAGCGACAGTAATCAGTGACATTATGCAGTATATTATGCAGTACATTGTTACAATGTTATTAGTTTCGAACGTCAATACTTGTTAGCATACGTGGGTCGCGACGTGTGGTTATCGTGGAAAAAGATCAAAGAACTCATCAAAATACTCATCAAAATGTAATTAATTTAACGAAGGATCGCCGGCAGTATAAATAGTCTGTGTCTCTCTGCATCCAGCGCGTTTATAAAATCTTTTCTTCGCATTGACCGTTTAGAGTAGAGCTTTTGACGTATGTGTACGTATTTATCTTCCACTAATATATTGTATATATAAGGAGACACACAGTTGAGGCACACAGTTTTTATCCCGCAGAAAATATATCCATATATAATATATATCCCGTGTTATATCATAATTTAACGAAATTTTGAAACATTTCAAAAGATGCAGCATATTATTTATCAATCTTGCTATCATTTTTTCATACGCCGTAAATTATTTTATCGTGTATATTCTCTTGAGATAGCACAAATTTATATCCTGAAAAATTAATTTCCTTGAAAAATTTATACACATATAAAAATTTGCAGGGTATTTCGATTAAATAAAGTGTAACAAAGTGTCTCTTTTTTCAACAAAAGTAAAAATTCTCCGTACATTTTGCAAGCAAAGGGAGAAGCTATAACATCATTTTAAGAAGAAAGCTTTGATATTCTGTATAATCGGAATATATTTTTCAGCACTTTAAAAAATTTCGAAATATCACGTCATATGGAAAAAAACCTTTGTATCTATTTATCCGTTTTATGACGCAACTTGTGTAAAGATATTTGTAGTCTTGTATATTTGAATCGTGAATATGAATATATACGACCAAGATAATTAATCTATAAATTTGTGGATTAATGTATTGATGACACTGTAAAGATGATTATCAATTGAAGAATCAGATTTGGAATCCACGAGGGTCAAAATGCGAATAAATTATCTGCATTATTCATATCGACATAATTAATTTTACTGACAAGTACAAATTTATGCAGTAATCAATATTATGATATTTTTTCTTGTAGGAAAAAATAATTTTTATTACACAATTATATATTATGCTGTAACTAAGTCTTATGTAATAATTGAATTTTATTATAAGTGAAATTTACTACAATTATGAGTTATTTTATTGAAAATTGAATTTTACTATAGTAATACATTTTTTTTTACCTGTACTACGCGTGAAAATGATTGATGAGAGATGATTTTATCTTGGTTTCTTTGTGGGCGAGATGTGTAATTGATGCAATAGACCCTTACGTGATCTTACAATCTTCAATTTTCTCTTTGTCTATATCAATAATTGGACTGGTCGTTATACTAAAGCTTGTTCTTATTGTACGATTTTCGTCGATGTTAGTCGCAAATCAAGATTATCGAATAATGGAAAATTATAGACGATCTCATATTTTTCGATCGTGATCTAGGAGAATTAATTTTTATTATAAAAAATATCCCTTGTCTTATCTAAATTAGAAAAATTGCGTGCATGCGAGACATTAATGCATTCGATTATACATGCGAAATCGTGCGAAAATCGCGCAGTAGAAACAGTGCTCTTATAATATCACTATAACAAGAATTATATTGTAACTCGCGATTATCACCGGACGATTGACTCGTTTCGGTCGGCGCAGCTGATATTTTTTATGCAACCGAAAACTTTCTTAGACCAATTACCGTAATATAACGTATAAGATGTGAACTTAAGATATACATATATATAAAATATAACGCTAAAAAATCGTATATGTAGCGACGGAGTAAGAAGCTACTACTCGATATGCAATGTCTCTGAATTGAAGAATAATAGCAAGCGTGCTCGCCTTTTCGACGAAACTAGGAGAGTGCCAAATAGATTTTGAAAGTTTATACGTGAGTGTGTACGCGCGTGCGTGTGTGCGTGTGTATGTGTTTCTCTCACATTTTTATAGAGTGCTGGCTGTAAAGTACGAGAGCGGTGCTCCCGTTCGCTGAACTGATCGTTATTAAACCTGATCCACTACTTTTCTCTATCAACTTATAATGTTCAACATTATTTATTATTGTTTCGTCATTTGTGACGACAAATAATCTAATTTGTAATATTTTCTACAATAATTCTTTTTTTTTTTTTAATCAAATTGTGTTTGTCAAATTCTTTAATACTATAGAATTATACATATTGCATAAATGTCTTTGTAATAATAATAATGATAAAGATGCATGTAACGCCAGAAAAAACTTGATATGAGCTTGAAGGTATATATTAAGACTTTGAAAAATGTTACACGCGAATATAGCTATGAATATACGATAAAAATATACGATTTACAGTGCTACATAAAGATCACTTCAGCGAAAAATAGCCATTTATCGTCTAAGTATAGAAATAACGAATGTATACAAGTGTCAGATACGAGAGATCTACCGAATGTGTTTTAAAAGAGCGTGGTAGATTCACATAATTGTACTAGTATTATATGACGAGCTATCTCATTCTTAATGTTCTTCGATCTTTCTCGCAATATACATCTAATTGTAAGCCTATAAATGCAATACACTTGATTGTTTACTTGCATTTTGTAAAAATTTTGTTTTGCATAAAATTGTTTTACATCAATTTTTGTGTAATCTGTTTACCAACTTTAATTTGCAATATAAATGTATTTCTCGATATTGCACAATGAATGATATAATAGTTAAATACATTATAATTATCTTTTAATAAAATTTTACATTTTTTAAAATATCGAGTTTTTAAAATATTATTTTTTAAAATATCAAATTTAAAAAGGATTAAAAAGCTGTATATTTATAATACGTGAGATATTGATTTGATAAAATAATTATAGAGAGAGATCGAAGGACTATTAACAGTTAAATATGAATAAGTGTACAATAACGTTAATCGCGAGGAATCCGATGGATTTCCGATGCGAGGAAACTCGTCTTTCTCTCGATCTCGTTGTCGCTCTTAATTAAATGTGTTTGCGACTTCACAGATGATATTCTCGACCAATATCTATTTGTCTATAATCATCGCATTACCATTATCTCTCTTTCTCTTTCTCTCTTTGTGTAATCATGTACGCTCCCTCGTGCGAAACGCATGTTCATACAAGAGAAAAGACCTAACGTTTTAATCCGCTCCCTTCTATTGCGGACATACATATTATATCCGCTTTATATCGATGGTAAGCGCTTGAGTTGCATATCGATGAATCATATATATATATATATATAAAAATATATAGATGTAACATTTTTACGAAGAAATATATTTTGGCAAATTCTTCGTGGTCGAGTTTACATGGAAAAGACCCCGAGGAGACCGTTCAGTTTTTTGCGACAAGACATTTATACAGGATGTCTCGCTAGGAATGGGAACCGCATGAAAAATGAAGCATTCGACAAGAATTCATTTTATGAGAAATTTAAAATTATAGTCTTAAATTTGTACATGCTATGCATATAAAATTCTTTCTACTTAAAGAAGCACAATCAAAGTCTTTATTTATTTTTCTTAATTAGAGATTTTTTTAGAATCTTTTTTAGAATCTTTTTTATTGTGAAAATTATGATACTTCCAATTTTTTTCTATCAGATTTTCAATAAAAGTTTGCGGCTATTTTTCACTATATAGAATTACAAAAAAGAATTTAAAAAATTAGCCTACTCGGGAAATTTTTCTCATTCGCGGCGGGACATCTTGCGTAAGATTTATCAGTCATTCTATGTATGCACTCATCGTTAGTTTCAGCGAAGTGAAATGACCCCTTTTACTTAGAGACTCGATGTATAGCATCAAATGTATAGAGGTATCGTTAGTTCAGCTAGCTTTTGCGTACTTTGTAAAATATGCGCTATAATAAACATCGTCGGCATCGCGAAACGGTGAAATTCAACGAGCCGTAGCCGCTAAGTAACGCAAGAGCTCGAAGTTTCTTAATCTCGAATAAAACAAGAAAAATATTTTCACAGATTAAAATTTAAAAAAATATTTTTTTCGATACGAAAAATTTTTTAAAAATTTATTTCACAATTGCATATATATTTTCATTGAAAAATTAATGATAATATTATGTGAAGATATTTTTTTTCACATATCGAAAATTTAAAACAAATTTATTTCACGATTGCATCTATATTTTTATTGAGAAATTAATGATAATATTACATACAATGTATGAAAAACTTAATATATTATAATATACTATATATATTATAATAATTAATAATAATTTAATATAATTGATAAATTATTATAAATGATAATAATTTTTCTTTTAATTCTTAATAATTACGTAATAAATATATAATTATAGTACATTTTTATTATTGTCACTACACAAGTAATGTTCTCAAAATAATATTGAGGATGTTGAATAACTGAGGCGCGATTCCGAGCGATTTATTATACGTGCGCGTTTTCGAATCGACTGGATTTTCAATGAATTAGAGAGTAATCGTTGTAACACGCACCCGCTTTCCCTATTTCAATTGTTGATACCATTAATCGCTAGTAGTATATAACCACGTGCAAGAAAATTAACACTGTTGTGAATATGTTGTATGTTTCGTTACGGGATAGAGAATCGCGAGGGCCGCGATTTGATTCATCACTTCTGAAAAATTACGTCTAATCGCGGATAAAAAAAAGAAGAAGAAGAAAAATGTGATACGCTAAGAGATTACTTGTTCCAAGTATATATTTGAGAAAATTTAGAAATAGCAATTCCCGTCTTCTACCGATTCTTCTACGAAGTTTCATAGTACGTTCAGTCATGAGTTTCCATCTCCTTAGCAAATCCTCCGGATAACTAATCCAGGAAGTTGAATCCTCGGAAGGATATAGCCCCGAGATCTCTATTTATTAACGTGGTTCTCGCGATTCGACGGGAGTAACGTCTTCATGTCTGAACACCCCGAAGTGGTTTGATAGTAAACGATTAGATTTAGAGGCCACGCTAGATTAGATGACGCGAGATGTAACAAGTGCTAGATGTCATAGAACGTTACACTATGCGTAATTCCACCGATTTCCTACCCCCTCTTATTAATCGCATCTGTCAGTTTCCCCGACGAAGGGATATATAGTGAGTAGCGAGATATATTGTATGTTATATAGGCTACATAGTTATAGTACCGACTATATTAGATCCTAGTCAACCAATCAGTTTGACGAAAGTGTATGCCGCAATAATAATCTGATTTCGTTCGATGTGTCTTTGTTATCGCGAAAGAGGCATTACTCGTTTATTGGCTGTTAAGCTTTGTTAATAAAATATTACGAAATTTTACATCGAACGCCGACGTGTCGTTAATTGCGCTTTCCTTGAAGACATTCTTTTTTTATAACAAGCGATATTTTCGAAAGACATTCTTGGCTCTTAAAGGGGCAGGGGGGATTGTTACATCTAAAATTCCTGTGGTAATCTACCTTCAGGACATTTGGGGAAGGATTTTGGGATCTCTTGCGAATAAAATTTATTCTTTCTTATTTTTTATTTTTCTCTGTGTCCCACTTTTAATTGAAATTATTTAACTGAAATTGTTATTTTATCCTAAAGTTTATTAAATTATATAATTTATTAAATTATATAATAAGTTTATTAAATATTTATTAAATTTAAGCAAAATGTGTAAAACATTTATTGCAATAATTTTCGGAGACAAAAAAGTTCACATTTTATTTCTTTTATTTATACTCCGTTATTCGTCTCTTTAAATATTTTAATTACTTAAATTTTACTACATTAAAAATTAGTTTGAAGTCTATAAATAGAATAAGTCTATAAATAGAATAATATTTATCAATTGACGATTTTCCGACGAATATCTTGAGTGTTGATAAAACGGGTATTTGTATAAAATATGAGTCAGCTGTGCCGCCGATAAAGTCGCGATCTGTCACTAGACGGCAGCACCGTCGATCTCAGGCATCGAACAAGTAAGATGGCCGCCACCGAGTCGAGTTTATCTAGTGAAAATCCCGCCAAGAAGGAGGATGAATTCAACGAATTTTACACGGAGGTACGCGACTTTCCATTGATCCTGATGTCCCTTTATACGCAGCGTTACCGGCAAAATAAATCCCGATTCCTCGAATCCGTGACTACTACTCGTAAATATATTCGGAGCAGTGACTCCGACAAATGTCACTTAAGAGTACCGATGAAATGACAATGAGTTCTCTCGTAGTTAATTCGCGCATGTTTTAACTATCATTTAAATTAGTATACACACAATTGTATTGGATATCGCGGATGACATTGTTGTTGTAAACCGATATGTTTGATGTTCCTAACCTATACAAACAACAGTGTTTGTGTTGAAATTTTTCAATTTTTTTCACTTTTTTGAATGCACAGAGTTTTATTATCACATATCGCATTTCAAAATTTATTATTGAATATTATTTTAATTAAATATACACTTTAATAGTCTCCTTTAATATAATAGCTACTTAGCTTGCAATTGCATGTTTTTTTACTATAAATGAATGATTTGTTCTTAGCTGAATAAAAGTGGAGAAGAACAAGATAGATATATACTTAGAAGTACGAAAGAGAGAAAGGAAAAATGAGAAATGCAAAAAGTTTAGCTGAAAAGAACAAATTTGAAAATGACAGCGCTGATAATATATTTAGTAATATCCATTTGCAAAAATTGCTTGCAAACAGTTTTAATCATATTTTCCTTGCTTTCTTTTAATATGAAAATTGTATGTCCTTAATATATAATACGTAATAATTTTAAATATTGTCAGAACAAATTTTTAATACTCTGATTTATTAAAAAAAAGCATTAACAAATATACAAAAGAAATTAGATCTACTGTAATGAAAACTCATTATATTGCATTTTCCTAAAATTTTTTATAATATTTGATAACAGTATTATTATTGTCATAATTTTTCTTGTTTTTTATTCATTATATAATTTAATTGAAATTCCATATTTATTATAATTATAAAGAAATTTTTTTCGTTTTTCTATAGGTTAAGGAAATTGAGAAAAGAGATTCTGTGCTGACACCTAAACAACAAATTGATAGATTATTGAGACCTGGATCATCCTATTTTAATTTGAATCCATTTGAAGTATTACAGATTGATCCAAGCACAGCAATAGATGAAATCAAAAAGAAATACCGTCGTGTAAGTATCTATCTCTTTTTTTTCTCTAAAAAAAATAGATAATATAATTTAATGGCATGATTTTTATTGTAGATGTCAATTTTGGTACATCCTGACAAAAATCAGGATGACGCAGAAAGAGCACAGCAAGCATTTGAAAGTAAGTTTAATAATAAAGTATTTTGTAATGATATAAATATATATATTGCAATGTGGTAAATATATAATAAAAGATCTCATAATAAATATGTAACAAAATATTTCATTAATTGCAGTTGTTAATAAGGCGTGGAAAACTTTGGAAAATGAAGAAACCAGATCAAAATGTATGGATGTCATTGAAGAAGCAAAGGCTCGGACTGATCACATGGCAAGTTTCTAATTATTCATTAAAATTTTAACTTCTATGGGACTGATATCATAGCACATGCTTTGTTACATTTTAACTGTTATATAATACCGAATTTTAAAGATTGCAGAAAAAAAGAAAAAGCTGAAAAAAGAAGGAAAATCGGAAAATTCGACTCCGACGCTTTTGGAAGAAGAAACTGAGGAAGGTTACAGACACGCAGTCTGGGTTATGACAATGAAGTTGTTTGCTGATATGGAACGAAGAAGGTTAATTTATAATCTTTTTTTTTAAATATAAAAAAATATTAAAATATTAAGCTTGTTTGGTTAAAATATTAAGCTCTGTATTTAATCGCGGTCAAATTAATTGCGATTTTTTTAATAAGCTATAATAGATGCTATGCCACTAAATACTTTACACAAAAATACATTGATTTAAAATAGTCATTTTATCTTTTTTTACAGACGAGAATTGGCCACGAGAGACGCAGAACAGCGTAAGAGAAAACGCGAAGAGGAATTATCAGCAGAAGCTCAAGCGGCATTAGAACGCGAATGGCAACGAAACTTTGAAGAATCTAGACAATCACGTGTTGATAGCTGGAAAGCGTTTCAATCCGGCTCCAGTGCCACAAAACAGAAAAAGGCAAAGAAGCTAAAGGCCTTTAGGCCACCAAAAACGAAGGCAGAATCGCGATAATCGCAGCCATAATCTTTCCTTCACCTTCGACGTGCGGATTCTGGTTTTAGTCGACGCGATATCTTATCTTAGAGATTTTCTCGCAGCGCATTAATGTAGATAGGTTGAGCGATTCAGCACAACGCGATATTATTCTAGTAATCGGTCAACGCGCTGGATCACCTCAACTTGGAACTGAAAGAAAGATATTGGACTTTTTGGCCCTTCTTGACTTTAAATTCAATGCAAGACAAAAATTTCTCAATTTTGACGTCCATTATTATTATTATTAACTTAAGTGCCGAAATTCAAACATTGAGGTCCTAAGAGATTCTCATACTAATGATCAATTTCACTAATCCAGAAGAACAACTTAAGTTTTTGATGAAATTACATTTCTTTATTTAATTGATATAAAGATTATTGCTGAAACTTTCAATCATTTCTATTTTTACGAATTTCAACTTATTGATATAAAACGAATTAATTTTGAATAAATTTAGTGAAATTGATTACAAATCCACTTTCTTGCTTAAATAATCGTAATTTAATGCCAGAAAGAAGGTTTTAAATGTGGTACGTTATTAATAAAACCAATATTAAGAGCAGATACATATTTTTGCGAGAAAGAAAAGATATATAGAGAGGGAATACAACCTATTGAATGAATAGGAAACGCGTTTCTTTATAATCGTATGCGAGTCGAAAACAAACTTTGTATGTACGTCGCAGTCTTATAATGCAAAATCGCCCCGTTCGTTTTGAAAACAATAAATTACACATGAAATAATTTTGTTAACAAATAAAATTTTGATAATTTATTTTTAAATTTATTTTAATATTTAAATTATTTCAATATTTAATATAATTATATTAAATTTATACTAAATTATATAATATAAATTATATTAAATTATATTAAATTTTTTGGGTTACATTGGCTTTCAAAATGTACGGTTCGATTTATCTTGCGTCATCTCGCAAAATTAACAATTAAAGAGTTTTTATCGCGAATTCTGTGATTTCCCGGTATTGACATATGTAAAAATAAGAATGAAAAGAAAGAAAAGAAAAAGTTCTTCTAAGCATTGTACATTTACAATATCCCGATGTCATTGCGTAACAAATGTCAATTTTATAATCTACGTGTGTCTCGTGCTTTTACTATTAAACGTACGATCGTCCATCATAAAGAAAGTAGGGTGAATAATCGCGATAAATGAAAAATCAGAGAATTTTGATGATACTAGATATCCAATTTTGAATGTGATAAATGACAAAAATAGCGAATTAATATTTAAGATGAGAATTATCACGAAAGATCGCATACAGATTTCAATATTCATTGTAGCAAAAATTGATTGAATCTAAGATTCATCGTTTCAAATTTTGGAATTTTTCAAAATACTATAAATTCGTGCGCGCATAACTTTTCATACCATTATTTTCTTTATACTACTAGAGAAACGATTCTTTTTGCATTTTATTGCAAGGGATTCGATTCTGCACTGAATAAAATATCAAATTATCGCGATGCCATATAATAAGATCCGTTATCAAAAAAGATACGATATAACTCGTTTATCACTTCGTGAATGCCTCGATATTATACAAAATAACATACGATTACGTAGCTTCATCGAGAATGACAACAGTTTGTTCGAGCTTTGAAATCAACTGTAAAATGTGAATATATACGTATAAATTGTTTCTAAAAGACTGTTTCTTGCACTTCGATACGTAATGTGTAGTATATCCTACTCAAATGCATTAAAGAATCTTCCATTGAATTGTGACTACAGCAGCGACATAAGATATCCATTTAAATTATGCACTCTGTAATAAAAAGACGCATACGATCGTGGTTTCTCGTTCTTCACATCGACATCTCTACAAGGAATATACAGGTATCCTAAAATTTCCCCCATATTATATATATATATATATATATATATATATATATATATATATATCTTTCACTTATAAAATATTTGATTTATTAATTTGAAGTTGATATTAAAAAAATAATAAAATTATTTTCTAAAAAAAAAATTCAAATTGATTAAGAATTTATAGAAATAAATTTATATACATAAACCAATACATATTGTGAAATTTTTCTTTTCGAATTATATATATTAGAACTGATGATTTACGTCAATATTCGAATTTCAAAGTATTAAAATCTTCGAAGATCGAAGCTTCGAAAGTTATATTATCGCGATAAATACACTTTTATAAAATTATATGATAAAATCTGAATAAAATGTTGCAATTGTTAAATTGAGAAATATGTTAAAAATTTTGATTTTCAATAATTTTTAATAATTTTTAAGTAATTTTGTATATATATATATATATTAATTAATTTACAACAATTAGAGTATATTAGTAATAATATATATTATTTAATTCTCTTTTATTTACAACATTTCTTATATGAATTTGCAACAATATATTTTTCGAGGCTTCGAAGATTCAAAGTTAACTTCGAAATTCATTTTGATAACTTCTTCGAAGTTGTCAAAACAACGGCCTTAATATATATCTATAATAATGTTTATAATCTATTTATAATGTTTAAATACTTTTTTCTCATAATATACGTGGAAAAAGATGTCTTACTAACAATAAGTTATTAATATTATTATATTATTTGTAGTGACTGAATAGGACATAGGATTTAAATGGAATGTGTTGCGCGCGCATCCCCACTTATTCGGCTTGAAGCGCGCCGATAACAATATCAACATTCCGTTAGTAGAACGCCGTACGTGACGTTCGACGGCACGTACAATCTGTGAATATTGTTAATTTTCGTCGAAGAAGTGATTTCATCGCGTTAAAATCGCCCCCAACAATGCAGCATGATCTCGATGGAACGACGAAAAGCAGAAGCGTACGTAGAAGGATTAGTTCGAGATCTCCAGAAAGTGAAGGACATTCGAAGATTGGACTGGTTGAGAATCACGTGAGTACTTTGCAAATATATATTCAAATGGATGATAAAAATATCAAGAGGAGAGAAAAATGAATTAATAGACTTTTCTTCATTTCCTGATTTGCGTTTGCGATCTCGTATTTTTCTTTTTTCGTAATATCTCGTGAACGCTAATATTTAGTAATCAGAATATTTATAAGATTTAAATGAAAACAAGAACTATATAATTTGTAATAGTCATTTTATAACATTTTATATAATTTCCTACAATCGTGATGATATATATTTAATCACATATATCCCATATATCTCTTTATATTGACTGAAAGCAACTATGTTTACTATTCATTTCGCATGGGAATATTTTGAAAATAGAACTAGAGAATATATTCGAATGGATGTGATAAAAATATCAGGAGAAAAATGAATTTATACAGACTTTCCTTCATTTGATCGCGATTTGCATTTATGATCTCATGTTTTTCTCTCTTCGTGATATCTCAAGAATGCTAATATTTAAAAGTCAGAATATATAAGATTTAAATGAAAACAAACAAGAATTGCCATATATAATGTCATTTTATAACAGTTTCTATAATTTTCTATAATTATATAATTTCTATAATTTCTATAATTTTTAGTTTATATAATTTCCTATATATTACGAGGATATATATTTAATTACATACATCTTTTTACATTGACTAAAAGAGAAAATCAGTCATGTTTACTATTATTCATTTCGCATGGAAATACAACTAGAGAATATATTCAAATGGATGTGATAAAAACATCAAGAGAAGAGAAAAATGAATTTATATAGACTTTCCTTCACTTGATTCTGATCTGCTATCTCATATTTTTTTCTTAGTATTATCTCGAGAATTCTAAATATTTAAAAATCAGCATATGAAATTTATATCAGAAAATAAAATTTAAATAAGAACAAACGAGAGCTTCTGTATAATTTATAATTAGTCACTTATAATATTTTATATAATTTCTGACAAATCGCAATAACATATAACATATATTCAATAACATCTATACATCTCTTTACATTGACTGGAATAGAACAAAACCGACTGTGTTTATTATTACGAGAACCAACCTTATTCACCTTCGCGGTTGTGTGTCGACTTACAGTTTGTAAATATGTAGTATTTTTGTGAGACGAACTATGCTTTACAATGTAGTGAAAAACACAATCGTACGTTTTGTAGCCGTGACTATTTATATCTTGCCATTGAAGAAAATTGTCGATGCTCTCATTGATATTATCGTCACAATTCATAATTATTGTCAATCCTCTTTCTTTCCTACAATTCTGATATTTTTAAATATCAGAATTTTCTTCAGAAATTTAAGAAATAACAATTTTACGTATAGCATAAGAGAATACAATGCACATAAAAAAATAAAATTTTAAAAAAATATATATATATTTTTTAAATTTACTATTTTTCTGAATATTAGTGAATGACACATAGCGAGATATCATCGAAATGTCAATTTATTTTTCGGAATACTAGTATCGTTAAAAAAAAGATCGGGGTCTCTGCACTCGCTTACGATTGAATGCACTTCACGTGACTGCTTTACAATTCACAGACGATATGTGAATAGAATTTAGAAAGCAATCCTGCGAACTCATATTTGCGCACATATAATCAGATATATCTAAAGTTGTAGAAAAAAGAAAATTAATATACACTGATTGAAACTTTTTTAGACAACGCGCGAAAAGTACATTTATATCCCTCTTTCTTTATCAATCTTTGCATCGACTGGTAGATTTCATCACAGAATTTTTTAGAGGGAGGGATGATCGGTATGAAAAGGCAAATATATTTCATCGCGTAAAGAAAGAGATAGAGAGAAAGAGAGAGTACTTATTGGCATGCTTGTGTACTTAAATTTGTATATGATTTGTATATCATAACTGCTAGCGTGCATCAGTACGCACTAATGCACCCAAGCTACTTGACCGTCTCGTGCGATGCATTTGCGATCGTTGCACGCGATTGCAGACAGAACGCAACAGGTAGCAGTGCCTTCCGCGTCCTTTCGAATTTTCGTTGCGGTTCTTCTAGGTAGATCGCAAGATGCATTTCCGCGCGGAATCGAGAGGGAGGGAGAGAGAGAGAGAGAGAGAGAGATCGCAGAATCAGCTGCGAGTCCGCGAGATCAAAACGAGAGGAATAAGAAGAAACTGAAAGTATCAAACGATCAATGTACTTACTATTACGCGTCTGTCAGATACAGCGTGTAATAAACGAGGATGTGAAAGTAATTAAAAAATAATTAAGAGTTAAAAGGAAAGAGAAAGAGAGAGAGAGACATTTGAATAATAAATGATAATGATAAAATAATTTTAAAAGAAAATTATTAGAAAATATAATTTATCATTTTTACTTAATGTTTTTCCCTGTGTATTTAATTGTAATTTAATTGTAATTTATTGCGAAGGAAGGGAAAATAATTTTTTTTATATTTTATAATATTCTTTTTAATAAGCGGTTACAGCAAACAAATAATACAATAGAGCCATCTCTTAGACAGAAAATACATAGATCTCTCTCTCTCTTTCTCTCTCTCTCTCTCTCTCTCTCTCTCTCTCTCTCTCTTTTTCTGACGTTTCAACAATCTTGGACATGTGACTAATTAATAAGATATTAATCCGGATAATTATGGGGGAAGGGAATGGTGTACATATATGGGGCATTATGCAGGTGAATCACGATAAGGGAAGTTGTCCGATAATTATATTGGCCGCAAGCTCAATAGAAATGCGCAGTTAGGTATCATTTCCTGTGACGTTGCTTGCGCTCTCTCTTTCCCTCTGGCATTATTCAAATTATTCCGATATCCGCCTCCAGGCATTTCGTAAGAAAAAAGGTACTGACGTCACGAGCATCGTCACTTATATGTCACCAGAATACCGGATCACGGGGTAATGATTTGTGTGTGAAAAAAAATCGCGACATAAATACATCATATTTTATAAAATTTTAACAAATAAAAGAGACATATAATGAATTTTTCATGATGTTGATTCGATTTGATTCTTGACCTTGATGAAAAATGAACAATCATGAGACACTAGTGGATTTGAGAAAAGAATCTATTAATAAGAAATGCATTGAATGAATCATGTGCTACAAAGAATTTTTATAGCAGTTTAGCTAACAAATATGTCTTATCAGCTTTTATTGATCAGAAATGTGAAATTCTTTTTTTTAATTAAAAATTCTTTACGTAATATTTTCAAATCTACATGGAGATAATATTAGAAAACACTAAATTCGCAATGAAAACTGAAGATGTATATTTTTCATTTTACTTTACTTCAATTAGTTAAAATTCCTTAGATTTCTCGGGATGTCCAATTTCGTCATACTTCACTGATTCTTCACATTATACGATACGCTCACACACACACACACACACGTGCGTGACCTCTTCCCGATACTAATGCATACCTATAAAACAGGTAAAACGACGTCACATACAAGTGCACGTTTCTACCAACCAAGAATTCTGCGTATGTGTGTTTGTATGCGTGTGTGTATGTACGCACGCGGAGAAGGAAGAGAACATGGCGCACACATAAATATACACGTTCGAGCATCGCATTATCGTCTGCAAATAAAGGAAAAGAACACGCGGCAGCTACACGCACAAATATCGCATCACACGTTCGTGTTTTGCAAAGTGATGTACGACGAGATTGGACATCCCCAGACATCCGAGGGATTTTTTTTTAAACGAGATAATATTAGAATAAAATAAAATTCCTTTAGTCCTTCATCTTTAATTTCACCTATATATGTTAAAGTTTCAAGATTGTAAAAACATTTTAAGATTGTAAAAAAAATTTTCAATTAAAAAAGAATTTTACGGTAAGGTTAAATTCGATAAAATTTAATTTATTTGTCGATAAAATTTAATTTATTTGTCAACATGTTAACAAAATGTTAGACAGACGGAGACGGCGACGAAACGCACACAAATGCTCCGAAACGTGCTGCGTGAGTTTTACACACATGCACGAATCAAGAATCGATCCTCCATGTATGTGTGCAGCCAGGTAATAAGAAAAGAATATGGCAAGCGTTACACACGCACCCGCACAACACACCTTTCACATAAACGGGCAGGATGCAAAGAACGCGTCGCACCAGTTTACACGTGACACACACACACACACATAAATCGAGAATCGTACGTCCGTGTATGCAGGTATGAGTGTTCGCGCGCGCGCGCACACACCCAGGCAGGTGAAAAAAGATATCTGTACGTGCGTGCGCGTGCACAGGTAAGAGCGACGAGACACTCGTCCGGGGGCCTCAGTCAGTGAGGTGGTGTTCACCGCCGTGTGTGGTGCCTCCTCGTGGTTTTCGCCTTCGCCTCTTCTTTTCCACCTCCTGCACCATCCTCCTGGAGTAGCGTCAGGTAGACGCAAGACTCGGATACTGGATATACTCGCGGATGAAGAACGGACCTTAGGAATCGCTCCTTCGCGCTCGCTGCCTCTATCTTTCTCTCTCTCTCGGTATCGGTGGTAGCCTTGACGGGCGCCAGCCAGACTGGACATCAGGCGCTTAACCCGGCCTGCCCTGGCGAATACACGTGCGTCGAGTGAAAGAGATTCTCGAGACTCTCGTGGCTTCGCGAATTCGTTCGCTGAAGGAAATTCTTGCCGATCGCGTTTCCCTCGCGGTAGTTTGAAGAAACAACACTATGTGCGATCGGTGATCATCGGTGCGTGCGGTGGCAACGCGAGTGCCGAGGATGTCGACGACGGACGTGGTCCGCATCGTGCAGCAGGGAGCCGCCGCTGATGAGGATCAGAGGTAATCTCTTTCTCTCTTTCTTGATTTATTTCGGCGGGTACGTAAAGTTCGCGCGGTGAAGGGCCTTTCCCCGAGTCGAGAATCCGTGAAATGTGGTGCGCGTTTCAAGGATAGCGATGAAGGTTATCGAATGAAGACTCGGGAGAATTATATAAATTCATCTCTAATACATGT